GTTCCCGTTGTACACATTGGAGGCTCGAATGCCCAGCTTGGAGCCGGCCACACACAGCAGGTCCTCCAGCGATCCGTACACGGCCACCACCTGCGCGCTCGCGGACAAAACGCACCGTTACCGCTTCCGCCCGCCGAGAGATCCGGGGGCGTGCTGGAGCGGGAACAGGCCATTTTTGTCCCCGCCAGCACACCGACTCCCGCCTCACGGTTATAGCTTACCTTCCCGTTCGTGCACGTGCCGTTAACGAACAGCGTGACTCTCCTCATAGCGAACAGCTTCAGTCGAACCGGCCGCTCCCGCCCGGGAAAGGAGCTCCTTCGGCCACAGCAACAAGCGCTCTCCCTTTCCTCTTCCACAATCCGCTCAGACACCCAACGAGCCAATCAGAGGGCCAGACTGGAGACCGACAGCCAATCAGTGAACAGGGGGCGGGGCCCGTGAGTTTCCGTAAAGAAACTCACGGATTGAGGGACAATTAAAATAAGTATATTTTATCCTAAAGATTTAAAAAAAAAAAAAAAAATCCAACTAACAAATTAAAAGTGAAAGCAGAAGCAACACCCCTCAGACACTTCGCTGATACTGGTTTGAACTTCTGAGTTTAATTCTTCAGCATGCTGCTGGAAACTGGTTGACTTTGACATTACATCATTATGACATAGTCATACAGCTGCTGCATGTGTCAGCTGCCTCCATGCCAACAGTAAAAATGTGACTGGAGGCCACCTGAGTGCAGCTTACTCCCCATCATGTTTGAGATCTGAGCTCAGTGAAATCAGAAGATGGGTCACTGAGGCCATAGAGGGATGGTGTTGTCAGCCACAACCCTCAGGTAGGCTGCGAGCCCCCTCCCCCCGAACACAGTGCTTTCAAGTGTCACGTTAAAGTTTTGAAAGGGTCAATTTGAAGCACACAAGCTCTTTAGAGTTGCATGTGATGTAATATTACTGAGTGGAGGTTTTCATTATACCTGTATAAATAATAATAAATCAAAGGCTGTGAATAAAGATGACAGACATCCCTGATTTAAAGAAAAAGCTTTATTAAAAATAATCCATATGGAGCTGCTGACAGACTGCAATCAGCTAGTTAAAATACACCAGAAACACCATAGTCCAGTTACAGTCTAGTTCTGACCCACTGGGTTCCATAATGGTGTGAGCAGGTTCAGCTTGAGGTCGTATTGCAGATCATTTGACCAGTGTGGGGCAAGACGCAGTATCAGTGTTCACACTGTCTGGTAAAGACAGTTTAAACTCCTCCAGGATTTAGTTAAAAACAATTCTGCACCATCCTCTCCGCCTCTAATTGCCGCTGCCATCCCTGTGGCGCTCTGCTCTCTGAACGTCACCATAGTTGAGGATGCGCCTGCCGGCGTGCATGATGAACAGCTGCTTTGTGAAGTACACCTTCAGCACACCTTTGAGCAGCACGTAAGCACTGCCACCCTGTGGAGCAGACACCAGTAAACCAGTCAGTACCACCGGCTTCTTAGCCAACCAATAATCTCAAAGCGTGTTACAGAGCACATCATTCTCCAATCAGAGGTCAGAGTACATTCACCAGCAAAGCGCGCTGCAGGTGAGAGGTCACAGACGGGAACAGTAGCTGCCCAGTTAGAACAGCAATGGAGGGAAACATGAGTGCGCCACAAAGCATCCTGGAGGTCAGGAACTGACGCTTCCCTCTGGGCTCATCCACGGGAATGGGGGGCAGGTACTGCTGATTATCTGTCGGGAGGGGCAGACTCACCTTTAAACAACAAGCTCTGACAGAGCAATTCCTCATGATAGCGAGCAGAGTCAAACAGTAACACTGACGTTGCAGCGACAGATGTCTAAACTAGGACAAGAACATCAGCACAGCACCCCCCTCTGACTGACTGCAGTACTGCACATGCCATTTACAGCAAACCTTGACGGACTTTACAAGGTCATTTGTCCCGTGGCAGCAAATATGGCACAACTTAAAATTCTGTTTTATTTGTAACCAGTGAACAACAAGGAAATTTTATACCATAAAGAATATAAATTCATGAGTTAATCAGCAAACCTGAAAGAATATAAAAGGTCTTAAAACATTTAACTTTAAGTGAAACTGCTCATGCATCTGCACTGCGACATATTCCGGGTGTGCATGTACCTGACGGCAGCTTTGGTTCGTAGCAGCATTTCTGCCACAGCTTCAAGACGCAGTCATTCCAGCGGACGGTCTTCCCAAGAATGAGCAGTACAGGGATGGCGGGCAGGCCGGAGAGCAGGAGCACAGGCCTTGCTCCCCGCATAGCCATCATACCATTTGCCCGTCCCATAACCTGCAGAACACGAGGTGTTGAGGACTCTGCCAATGTGATGCCCTTACAAGACGTTCCCTCTGTACCTGCACGACAGTCACAGCGCCGTAGCTCAGAGCTGTCCAGTACGCCGTCCCAACCAGCAACCCAAGGGTCCCATATGGACCGATGGCTGTCAATGTTCTGTCCACCACTCGCAGAAAGTCCACCAGTGGGCCTGAGGAGACACAACCCAGGATCAACGTTAACCCACTACGCATTCTCCACTGACAGGACACACCACCCTTCCTACACCTGTTAAAGGCCATGTGTTCAGTTTCTCTCTTTGCCTGAAGGGGTAGTAGAGAGCGCCACCACACCTCTGAGGACCTATGATATGACACTGAATAAGTTGACACTCACCCATCTGTGGGAAGATGACAGAGTACGCCACCTCACACAGCTGACATCTGATTGGCTGCTGGCTCACTCTCAGTCTAGTGTCAAGCCAGTACTGCAAGCAGGTCAGGTGCACCCACTTAGTGCTTCCTCTGCACCTGCAGGGACTCAGCCACTCAGCACCGGGGTCATCCTGCTCTGTGGCAAAACACACCCAGCAGTGCCTGAAATGAGACATGAATGAACCTCAGCTTCAAGTTCGCTCATGAAACAGTTAAAAGGTGTTAAAACACACAAGGCCTCACTGCAGCTGCACGACTTGTACACAAGACGGCAGTATAGCCCCTAAATTACCCAGAGTCACCACACACATGAAAGAGTTCAGCCTGAAAATGAGCCGAGCAGCAGAACAAAAATAAAATTAGAAAAAGTTAAAATTTTACAAAAATGTCTTCATAACAATTCTCAAGGAAAACAAAATGTATTAAAATTTAGAATTACAATCAGCATCTTAATAATTGCAACAACTGAAAGAAAGTTACTGGAACATCTGCATACACATAAAAAAGTGAAAAAAGAGAAAGAGTTCATTTTAACTTCTTTCAGCTTTGTGGAATTAAAGTTCATTCTGAGGATAAATCTTACTTCTCAGATGGCTGCAGAGCCATGATGTTACCAGGCATAGTCTGAACCACAGCAGGCTGCTCCACTCAGTCTGGAGTTAAAAGGTGACATCGTTAAACAGATAAGGGAAATTTAAAAAAAAAAAAAAAAAAAAGTTTAAAGAAAAAGCTGCGACTGTCAAAAGATTTAAACTTCGGCATCATTTTAATGACGCAGGAGAGAAACAGACAATGCTACAGAAATACTCAAGAAAACTGCTAACATGCATTTAACCTACACCTTAATTGTAATCGGTTGGAGTAAACTTCTTTAAACTGCAAGGGGGGAGGCAATAACACAAACCTTTAACGCTTCCAAAGAAACCATCAGAGAAGCAGCACAGAGTGAAAACACGCTTTAATCAAAAACTGATGATCAGGCAAACTCCAAAACACGGCAGTGTCAGGGCGTGACACGTTTGCAAATAATCAGAGTTCAAAACCCACACCTGCGTCTAAAAACAGACCACCATGTCCATCCATCTATATTAAACGTGCCAGCGTGAGGTGGTAGCGAGTACATTAGAAAATGAAATACAATGAAACTTAAAAAAAAAAAAAGTACCGACACGGAGAATGCGTTTTGTTTATTTGGACACGGAGAAAGTACGTTCAAATTAAATGTCTGATGTTTAAAAAAGTGACAGCGGGTGAGATAAAAGCGCAAAGCCCCTTAGCCTCGGACTGCGGCTAAGCTAATGGCAGGATGTGGGTCAACGAGTGCCCAGATTTCTGACAGGGATCCGAACCACCAACCCCGAGGTCCGTCAGAACCTCACATCTATGTTCAATCACATCTCCACTGTCTGTGAGCACTCATCCAGCCAGCAGCATCACGCCTCCTCCTCCCCACTCTCCAAAACTCGTTTGAAAGCCGTTTACAGAATTCAACCTTCACTTTGTAAAAAGAGCTCTGGCGGGAAGTTACCACTATATCACACCGGAAGCAGCCTTCACACTTTTGTTTCATTAAACTTGTACTCTCTAGGAACACAAACACACTTAAGAGGTTTTACAATTTAGCTAACAGCACATTAACTACTAACCTACATATCGCGCTGGCACAATACAGCACTTCTACAAAGCTTACCTGTTAAAACAGCGCGTGCCACTGCCGTAAACCCTCCACTCACCTGAGAAATGCGTACCGATCGAGCCCAGTGTCAGCTGTGTTTTTATCATTCCCCAGGCCCCGTGGACCCGCCCACTTCGGCTTTTTTCTAGCTTTCTGATTGGCTGGATCTCGTGACACTGGTAATGCCTTGAGGGTACCCGGAAAACGTATTTAAAGCTGCATTTGTCGACTTTTAGTGCAACTACTGGACTTTTTTTTTATTACGAGCAACATGAAGTGTTTATCTTTTATGTTGTCACTTTCGGTGAATATATTGTCATCCTTTTTACCGACTAATAAAATGTAAATGTAGATTAAATAAAATAATTTTAGCTGATATTATCGTTAGAAAACACTGCTAAAAACCTCTGTGTAGTAAAGCGCTTTAATTGCATTATTTGTTAAATGTGATAGTTAACTGTGATCTGCCAGCAGACCAGCAGAAACGCTGCCACTCGTTGACAGCGTATAGACATGCTGATTGGCTCTCCGTGATGCCAGTCAAGATCTCTGGAGCTTGATTGGCTGTCTGCACCGTGAGCCCGCCTCGGTGCTGTGGTTGTTGTGGACGGGGCGGCAGCAGCGGCAGAGGAGCGTCGACAGGCGTAGAGCGGAGCTGCTAACCGGCGCTGATTTTTACATGATTAAAACACTAAACGGGCACGAAGACTCACGCGGATCGATAGAAACACACCTGAAGCGCACGTGCGGTCATGGAGTCCTATGACATTTTAGCTAACCAACCGGTGGTGATTGATAATGTAAGTATGATGATGTCATTCATCCACACCCAGCCCGAGGCCGCGGGCTAACCGTTAGCCTACCGCTATTGTGTCGGAGCTAATAGGTCGGTGCTCACCTTCCCTGGAGGTGCAGCGGGGTTCCTCTTTCCTCTATGTTCCCTCTATGATGCTGCCAGCTCGCCTCCTCTGGCCGGCTCACTTCTGCAGCTGTTAGTCGCTAGCCGGATCCGCTGCTAGCTCCGGGCAGCAGCAGGTTAGTGGAGCCGGATCCGGGGCGTGTTAGGTGTCCGTAGTGCTGTAGCGGCATCAGCTCACTCCTCCACCCGGCTCTGCTGCTAAATAACCAGCAGACAGGTTGCGGGAGTCACCCCGAAGCCCCACATGTAGTACAGCAGACGGCTGCTAGCATGTTAGCATGGCCGTGACACTGTCAATAACCGAGAGGAGCTTCATCATCACATAGAGCTAACCTTAATTCCGTCAATGAAAGTTAAAACCTGACTATATTTTTTTTTATTTCTCAGTGACGTGCAGCTCTCAGCTGGAGCTGTGTCTGATTTAAACGTAATGAATCCAGTGTATGTTCCACTCATGCCTCTTCACCCGCTCAGGCCATCAGTCTGAGCAAAGATGTTTCAGGTCCTGTCTCTTTAAGCCTATTGTTTTTTCATTGGATGATCTCAAGAAGCCAGCTGAGGCGCTCTGAGCGTTGTCTACAAAGACTGCCTGACCTGTGAGCAGGAGTCTCAGTTTAGTGTGTTTCAGGTTCAGAGACTGAAGGTTTCTCATCTTGGGCTGATTCTGTGAATTTAGGGAGGACCCCCTCCTGGGGTCATGAAAGGAGGAGCCTCACAGACCTGCAGGTTGTACAAAGAGAGCAAGTTTACAGTCACTGACTCAGACTCACTCGAAATTGGCATATTTTGTCTACAAGAAGCGGAAAGGTGGCAACCAGGAAGGCAATGCTTTGGCAGCTGTTGTATTTCAAACCAAAACCAAAGGTGGGGTGCCTAAACTCCACCGGGTGTGAGTTTAATGGTGGGACGAGCTCCACCCCAAGGCTTCCACCTGCAGGGATTATTTGCGATCTAAAAGTTAAAATAAGGTTTCATGTGCATGTGTGGGTGTGAGAGTGCGCTGATGAAGAGTTCAGAAACACAAATCAATAGGTCAAAGATCAAGCCTCAAACAGTAATCACAGTGAAGCTGATAGTTGGTGCGTCTAATGAACAGTTTTCAGTTCAGTTTATTTCAGTGTTGGTACGTTTCACAGATTTTACTTGGTTGTCTTTACTCAGGTTTTACTTCACTGAGAAGGTTTTGGTATCGAGCTTTAGACCGCTGAGCTTCTCTGAGTTCTTTGTGAGACATGGTTTCAGATCTTTGGGATAATTAAGCTGCCGTCGTCGGGGTTTGGCGTCTGGCACTCCTTCCTGTTCGCTCACTCACAGCAGGAACTGAAGCTTTGTACAGCAGAAACAACTTTTTTTTACTTGGAGGACAAAGTGTCTGTTGAAGCAGAGGAGCTGGGACTGCTGCCAGCCTCGGGCGGCATCTCATGACCTCTCAGCTTCTTTAACCCTGTGATGCTCAAACGTCATCTTTCTTTTCCTTGCAGGGGTCGGGGGTCATCAAGGCCGGCTTTGCGGGAGACCAGATCCCAAAGTACTGCTTCCCCAACTAGTAAGTTAACGGAGACTCCATGATCTCTGTTGCTGTTTAACCAAGCCTGCAGCTCACTCTCTCAGTGCTCTGTGTGTTTCATGTGCAGCGTCGGGCGCCCGAAGCATGTGCGCGTGATGGCGGGAGCCCTGGAGGGAGACCTCTTCATCGGGCCCAAGGCCGAGGTACTGCTGCTCCTCCTCACTGCCGATTAAACTACATCCCTGCTGACACTCACTGCCCTCTTATGATGCTGTTATTATTATTATTATCATTATCATCATCATCATCATTGTAATTATTTTTATCATAATTATCATTTTTATTATCATTATTGTTGATGTTGTTGTTATTGTGTGGAGCTTCGATGGGCCACACCTTCATCACAAACGCTCCTTTAAAGTCGACTCTTTATTGTTCCTGCTGAGGTCGGTGCAGAGGCAATCAAACCTGAGCTTGCAGACCTTGGTGAGGCAGTGTCATCTTTACCGAAAGGCGTTTAATGTGTGAGAGCACGTAAATGTCATGTATTTAGTAACCTTATGATGGCGATTGAAGGTGATGAAGGATGTGATGTGTGGCCATGCTTGAGCTGCTCATCTCTAGCAGCTTCAGGAGGTCCAGCAGCTCTGCTCTCAATGGAGGAGAAACAGGAAGTTATTGCCCTGCAGGATCAATAAAGTTTCTTGTTTTGAATACAGGGTTGTTGTTTTTTTTGGTTGTGTGTTTTTTTTGTTTTTTTGTTTTGTTTTTTCCAGATAATTGTCACATGACCTTCTCACAGCATCTGCAGCTCTCTTTTTTCCATCAGATCAAAGCATGTGACTGTATCACATTTTCAGGGAAAAATAAACTCTCCCCCTCCTCCTCCCGTCAGGAGCACAGGGGCCTGCTGTCGGTGCGGTACCCGATGGAGCATGGCATCGTGACCGACTGGAATGACATGGAGCGGATCTGGCAGTACGTTTACTCCAAGGAGCAGCTGCAGACATTCTCCGAGGAGGTGAGCTCCTCTCCGGCTCTCTCACTTCCACACACGAGCTTGTCGTGACACCGCTAACCCTGTGTTTTTTTTGTTTTTTTTTTTTTGTTTGTTTTTTTTAACCTTTCCCAGCATCCTGTGCTGCTCACAGAGGCTCCTCTGAACCCGAGCAAGAACAGGGAGAAGGCGGCTGAAGTGTTCTTCGAGACTTTCAACGTGCCGGCACTCTTCATCTCCATGCAGGCCGTGCTCAGTCTGTAAGAACTCACTTCCTGTTTGTGTCCTCCTGTTGCTGACTCAGCATTGAGCTGAGGGCTGCGTGAACCTCAGCCTCATGTTTGCTCAAGAAACAGTTAAAGGTGTTAAACACACACGAGGGCTCACTGAAGACTCTCTGCAGTTGCATGGCTCCCACACAAGGTGGCAGTATAGGCCCTAAATTACCCTGAGTCACTGCAAGCTCTCTCTCACTCAAACACACACACACACACACACACACACACACACACACACACACACACACACACACACACACACAGGGTTCTGTGCTGATTGTAGGTGTGTGTTCCTCATTTAAAGGGGAGGACCCTGACCGCCATCTGTGACGGCTCACTGAGTCTTTGTGTGCTTTGAACCAATCAGATGTGACTTTGGGTCACATTATGATCTGAGCCCCTCTGTGATGGAAGGCCTTCACACACTGGGCAAGTAAAATCAGCATGAGTGTTTCTGTTCTTAAAGCAGCTGTCGAACTTCACAGAATGAATGTGTGACACTCAGAAGCTTGGAACATGCTCGATGTTTCAGAGTTTTGACCAAACGGATCGCTGCATTTGGCAACAAGTACGCTTGTATCTCAAAGTGTACACTGGTACTGAATCTATGCTACATCAAAACCGTAAATAATCCATTTTGACGTTACAACTAGCTGCTGCTGCCTCCTCAGGTGTTGTCTCAACTCTGCCAAGGAGCTCAAACTGCCCACTGACATGAAACATGGCCAAAGCTTCGACCCTGGATCACAACAGGAAATCCTCCTGCTGCTGCCTGCATATAAACCAGAGTCTGTTTCTTCCCTTTCTTGTTCAGAAATGCCAGTACCAGCTCATCATTGCTTCATGTCCACTCCGTTTTTTTTTTGTTTTTTTTTTGTTGTTTGTTTGTTTGTTTGTTTGATTTTTTTTCACGGTGCGCATTGTGAGATCAAATTTTCGTCAAAAATGTTCAGATCTGAAAAACGTGCCAACCCCGGAACAGAGTCTGTGCAGGATGCAGACGGTCGATTATTAAACACGTGAAGCCTGAATTTAACATGTTGCTGGGCTGAGAAACGTCCTGATGTTAACATGACTGGATCTGATGGGGTTTTGATGGTTATCCTGTTATGTCTGTGTGTTGATGACATTTTAATTGTCTCTCTAAGTTAGAGAAAAGTGCATGTGATGCATGTTGCGTCGTCTTCGCGTCTGTTCACCAGACAGAATCAGAGCAGGCTAGAAGACGTTTGCTGAGTCTCTATCATAACCGTGATGGCCTCTGTTTTCCTACAGGTACGCCACAGGCCGCACCACCGGCGTAGTGCTGGACTCGGGCGACGGCGTGACCCACGTGGTGCCCATATACGAAGGCTTCGCCATCCCACACTCTATCATGCGTGTGGACATCGCTGGGAGAGATGTGTCGCGGTACCTGCGACTGCTGCTGCGTAAGGAAGGATACAACTTCAACACGTCGGCCGAGTTTGAGGTCGTTCGCACCATTAAAGAGGTGAGGCGGTGGCGGCGCTGAAATGTGAGTCAGGTGTTATGAGCGTTTCTAATATTCTCATGTCCCTGCAGAGAGCCTGCTACCTCTCCCTGAACCCTCAGAAGGACGAGACCTTAGAGACCGAGAAGGCTCAGTACGTCCTCCCTGACGGAAGCACTTTAAATGTAAGTCCTGTTCCTACTGATTGGTCGTTCCCGTGTAGCGTTCCTCCCCATTCCCCTGACATGTGATCTCGCCGTTTTCAGATCGGCCCCGCCAGGTTCCGCGCCCCAGAGCTGCTGTTCAGACCCGACCTGATCGGAGACGAGAGCTCAGGCATCCATGAAGTCCTGGCCTACGCCATCCAGAAGTCCGACATGGACCTGCGGCGCACGCTCTTCTCCACCATCGTACTGTGTGGCGGCTCCACGCTCATCAAAGGTTGGTGCACGCACTGCAGTCCGTAAAACTTCCTGTTCGCAGCGGCGAGTAACACGGTACTGTCCTCACTCAGGCTTCGGCGAACGGTTACTGACTGAAGTGAAGAAGCTCGCACCCAAAGACGTAAAGATCAAGGTAAGCTCTGACTGGGACACACCCACAGTAACCTCTGACCTCCTTCTCCTGCTCACTGAAGTACTCGCAGCACAGGGGCATCCCGAGCCTGTTTCTCATGAAAATGCTCGGGAGGAGGAGGAGAGCAGAGATGAATACATTTAAAAGAAATATATTTATGTATTCACAAAGAAAATAAAATGCTTTGTAAACCGTGAAGAAGTCTTGGAGAGGAGGACTCGGTGAGGAGATGTCATTTAGGAGGTGTGAGTGAGGATGTCTCAGCAGGAGGTGTCAGTGACCTGTGGTTTCTCTTTGGCAGATCTCGGCCCCCCAGGAGAGGCTGTACTCCACGTGGATTGGGTAAGTCTTTGATTCACTCGTGTGTCACTGTGTGTCTTTGTGGCTATCCCCTCTGATTGGTCCTTCCTCTGACCTCACTTCTTGATGCAGTGGCTCCATCTTAGCGTCGTTGGACACCTTTAAGAAGATGTGGGTGTCGAAGCGGGAATATGAAGAAGACAGAGCACGTGCCATCCACAGGAAGACCTTCTAGGCCAATAGCCCCTCAGAACTGTCCTCATTGCTCCCCCCCCACCATCAAACGCTAGAGGCTCCCTGACATCAGTGGGTCCCTCCTCCCCCTCCTCCTACCTACATCCACCTGCTTCTAACCCACCGTTGACCTCCTGCTCCTCAACCTGCACACACACACCTTTATGTGTGCTCGTCTCCATATTTACCTCCTCTGACCCCCTCCCCTCCATGTTCTTCCTGCTGTCAGGTGGTGGTGACAGCACGCTCTGAACGTGACACGCACACCCACACACGCACCCACACACACATGCACACACACTCGCACACAAACACACACTTGCATGTGCACACACAGACGTGTGCGCACACACACAGGGCTGTGGGGCGTGCTGGAGGTTGCGGGTGGAGCTGTGGATGCTCTGAGCTCCACACTGAAGCCTGTGAGGCATGATGACATCATAAACCTGAATGTTTTGTTTGCTGATGTTCAGATTTGATTTCATGTCTGTTTGTAGCTTCTCTGACATGAAGCTCTGTGCTATTAAACTGTATTATAGATCTGATCTGCACATGTATTCTGTCAGCACGGTTCATTTATCGTCGCCGCTCATGATCTTCTTTACCAATGAAATGTTTTTTAGGTGAACATGGCATCACGAGTTTGTGTGGAGGAAAATGTTCAGCAATGTCTTTATGTCGGCTTTTTGTCCGAGCTGACAGATTAAAACAAAATTTGGGAAAAGCTTCACTCAGTTTTCTTTTTCTTTGCTTTAGAATTTATTTTATCATGAAATATTTCATTACAAAGTCGTCATCATGGTAATTTATTATAAATTAATTTTTCATGAAATATTTCATTATAAAATTATCGTAAATTAATTTACCTGCAAGTAATCTATTAATTCATCAAATTCATTATCATAGTCATTTGTCTGTGTAATCTATGATAACACAATCACAAAGGGTTTAATCATAAATTAAATCAAAAAATAAAGTCATTATAGTAATTATGTATGATAAAGTAAGCCACGATCAGGTCTTCATTAAGTGATTTATTACAAAGTAATTCATCATGAATAATTATTAATAATAATAAATAAATGTAAAAGATTTTAAATCAAAGTAGTTCATCATAAAGTATGTTGATCGGTTTTTATTACCGCTAATCATTTTAAAGCTCAGTTTTTAAAACCTTACGATGTAACTACAGCTCAGTCCATGCAGCAGTATGTTAACCCTTTAAGACCTACCATAGAACCAAGTCCGCCAGAGCTTATATTATATTTTTACATGCTGTAGTGCAATTTTGGGAGTATTTCAAGTTGCTATATATCAATACAACCATTATAGCCCAATTTTTAATAATATGTATGCATTAAGTGCATAGTAATTAAATAAATTGCAACAAAGTGCAATAAACTACAAAAAGTTTGAAAACCATTTTTGTTTTTTTAACATATTTCTAGTTGAAGGAATTTAAGAGGCTTATCCCTCAAAACTGTGAATACAAAAAAGTTGCACAAAATAGTTTCCCACCACAGGAAATTTATTTTGAATGTCTTCATAGTTTTATTTTTGAAATACACCAATTTTTATATACTGCAGGAAAAACGAAAATAAATATTATAATGCAGATTTGCAAAAAAACAGCATATGCATCAAAATAAACTATTTCCAACAGTGCAATTTGAGTTCTAAGTATCCCAGAAACTATTCAGAAAAGCATAAAGTCAAACATAACTTTTAAAAATACCAGTATAGGCTTATAAGGTAAAAAACTACATTTCCGCGAAAATGACGTCACTTCCGGTTTCGGGCAGGTAATGGCGGACATGCGGACAACTCCTCTGGTTTCATATGCAAAAAAAATTACTGCGCTAGCTTACATGGTTCCGGTTCTACAGGGATTTAAAAATAGTTATGCAAAACGGAGCGTCCCCGCTTCGACCGGTTTTAAAGGGTTAATGACTAACCTCGTATTGTGGATGGATTATCTCAGTTGTTCTCCTGACTGAAGTTTAGTCCGTTTACAGCATCCTGCCATGCTATTGCATTTGTCCCTAACCATCGTGAATCCTCGTGTTAACTTTTATCAAGTGGAAAAAAGCTAGCGTTCATCCTCCGACTTCACTGCGTTTATGTTATGCTAACATAGGTGTGTCGCTAGCGATCATGTAGCACATCATTATATACCAGCTAGCCCAACTTCAGTAACCCTAAGAACGTCACTGCTGTTTAGTTTCCTGTCTTCATTTATGAAGGAAGTGATAGCAGAGCTGTACGTTTTAATTTTTCTGAAATCCCTCAGCCAGAACATGCTATATTATTTAATCTGGAGACTTCCCACGTACCACTAGAGGGAGCCCAAGTACCACCAGTGGTACACGTACCCCAGTTTGCGAACCACTGCTTTTCAGAAAGCTAATTTCCGGTGCTTGTATCTGCAATCTTGTTCTTTCTGTCACTACCCAAAGCTTGTAACTATAGATGAGGGTAGTGACGTAGGCCAATCGGTAAATTAAGAATTTCGCTTTCACGCATGGCTCTCTTCACCACAACGGACCGGTACAACATCCGCAATACTGCAGCCGGAGCACCAATGCATCAATCCCGCCCCCTTCTCCACTTACTCGTGCACAAGACCCCCGAGATACTCCTCTATTTGGGGCAGAACTCGTCCCTGACCCAGAGAGGGCGTTGAGGTGAGCCAGACTATATCTATCCTGTATCTCTCAACTTCAAACACTAACTCAGGCTACCGGAGAGGTGACATTCCATTGGTTGTCTCGGTAACTGGGGATTGGTCCGCAGGGTCTCCACCCATGGCTGCTGCCCAGCCCACGTTGCACCCAACTCCTACGACGCCTCCTTCAGGTGATGGGCCTACAGGAAGGTGGACCCATGTCCCTTTTTTGAGCTGTGCCCAGCCAGGCTCAATGGATTAAGGCCCAGCCACCAGACTATCGTCCTCGGGCACCTTCCCTGGCCCTGGCTTCAGGGCGGGGTGAATGGTTCCCTTGGTCTTCTGCTCATGGGGTTTTTTGAATTGCTCTTTGTCTGGTCCCTCTCCCAGGACCAATTTGCAATGGGAGACCTTACCAGGGCACAAAAAGCCCCTGACAACATAGCCCCTGGGACTCCAGGGACACACAAACCCATTCACCATGATAAGGTACCGATTGATAATCCATCATAAAGTCTTAATTCTTTTTTCATAAAGTATTTCATCTTAAAGTAACGTTGACTGTGCCCGTGCACAGCCAGCTGGTCATGTCATGTTATACAGTGATACAGTCAGTGTTGGGAAGGTTACTTTTAAAATGTATTCCATTACAGATTACAGAATACACATGCCCCAAAATGTATTCTGTAACGTATTCCGTTACGTTACTCAATGAGAGTAACGTATTCTGAATACTTTCGATTACTTAATATATTATCATGCTGTTTACAACGAATGTACTATTGCTGTGATTTATTACTATTACTGAAGGTCCGCGGCTCCGAACCGTAGTAAAGGGACCTCTGACTAATACCGTGGGTTCCGTGTTGGGCTCGTAGCCGAAAAATAGCTTTACTTTGCTGTGTGGGTCAACTTTGCTTGCGAGAGACAGAGAGAGGCGTTGAAAGGTTCCAACGGAACTTATTGTTTTTGTAGGAAAACATGAACACGGTGTACAGTCGAGTCTTAATAGCTTACTTACAGCTGGGCTCGTCAGGCACTCTTTTTGGCTGCAGTGGTTATTATTCTATTTACATGCTTCCAGCTCCTGTTTCTGTTCGATGACAGCTCGTACTTTTCCTTTTTCTCCCTCTCTTGCTCACAGACACATAACGTGTATGGCAGTCCATTCTCCCTGCAGCATGGACTACACTGCCCATGAGGCTACATTCTTTAGAGCTATGCCTGTAGCATTCTGCCTATTAGCTTAGCACAACAACAACAAAAAGGCGCTCTCTCACCCAGGAAACACGCAGAGAGCAAGCATCACCCTGTAACCATGGCAACCGTAACGCTGCCGCCTGGAACAACAGAACACAGCTGTCAAATAAAACCCAAACAGTCCTGACCCGCTACCATATGAAACAGGAAAGTACCGCAGTGTAATCCATTTATTTCAACAAAGTAACTGTATTCTAAATACCATCTTTTTAAACAGTAACTGCAACGGAATACAGTTACTCATATTTTGTATTTTAAATACGTAACGGCGGTACATGTATTCCGTTACTCCCCAACACTGGATACAGTCGACCATCAGAGTGAAGTGAATCACGATGTCAGCAGCTGATGACCTTCTCTGTTCCCCTCAGGGAATGAAAATCAAACATTCAGTTTTTTCTTAAGGTCTGAAAGGATGAAGGGTCATCTCAGGAACTGGTACTTACTTACAATGTTTGAATTTAGCCTGACTCTGTTAAGTTGTAATTCCAAATGTCCATCTTGGAACTTTCTGACCTGTGCATTAAAAATACATTATGCATTGCATATGCATTTAAAATAAAGCCAGAGGAGTACACAAGAGAAGACAGGAATACAGAGAAGTATACAGGTGAACAGAGGAGAACACAGGAGTACACAGGAGAACTGAGGTGTACACATGGGGTACAGAGGAGAACTTAGGAGTACAGAGGTCCTGCCCCTCGTTTATCTGTTGCCTGTGCACTGTCAGGGTGTAACGGTGCAAACATATGCAAACTTCTTCGCCATACTCCCCCCTCAATGCTTCAACGTTGGCATTGTTGTCCAGGTCAAAGGTCACTTTTCACTTTCATATCAGGGTTTGGTCAATGTGCAGGGAAGGTGTTGAGACTTTTACCCTGAATTTCATGTTTTCTTTAAATAAAATATGTCTGTTAGAGTTGAGTAAACAACCCCTGACTCACTTAAAGGACCCACCTCAGGGTTGGTCCTTAAGATGAGCCACAGAAATTTGTCCATGAATGGAAAACTCTAGATTTGATTTTGGCCGGATTGGGGAAAGGCTCTCACTGCTCCACAGACCCGTTCTCTCCTGGAAGGTCCTGTGTAGTTGGGATTCATTGAACTATCAGCCATCCACCTGAGCCAGAGCTGCTGTTACTGACTGTATTAAGAGACTCGGAGCAGCACGGATATACATCAGTGAGGACTGATGTTTATTTGTTTCCTTCATACAGAGTGCAGTAAAGAGCAAAAAGCGGTGTCAGCCCACCTGCTCCCAGGTGTGTCACAATTTCGGAAGCTTTGAGAACTTGTAACAGAAGTTGTGGGTCTTCATTTTCTGTCTTCGGATTCGCCCGGGATGTTCGGATCTGAGCTGAGTGCATCTGTGACAGGAACCAATCAGACATCTGCTGATGCTGATGGAGAATCTGAAGCACTTAAGCTGAAACATGACCAGCAGGTGTCAGTGTGACATCACTGCACCTTCTCTCCATCAGTCTGGTGATATTTGTTCAGGTGTGTTTTACCTCAGGTCGGAGCTGTAAAAGTCTCGATTGACCACAAATAGAAAATAAGCAGGTCTGTGTCTCTCAAACTTCTGACTGCCTTTTTTGTTTGACACTGAGGAGAAGTAATCCAGGATCAACGTAAAGCAGACACCCAGCCTGAACACAGTCCGGCCTGTAGTACATGTGTCTGACCTGGATTCATGTTCTTATATGTAATAAAATTTAAAATAAAAAAACAGTGAATATGAGTAACATTTAGGCTAGTAAAATATTTTACAGCATTACGATTATATCCCCATAAAAGGTGAGAAT